AAAAAAAAACCAAAATACTCGGAGCAGCAGCCACGCTGGAAGGGAGGAAAGGCCCCGTCCCCTCCGGCACGGAGGTATCATCCGGAAAGCCCCCTTCGGAGAATGAAAAGAAAGGAAAAAGGAGGAGGAGGAGGAGGGAGGGGCAGGACCCCGCTGCCCCGGCCTGTTCCAGGCACGCATACCCCTCCCCTCCCCCGCCCGCCACCGGCCCTCCCCTCCCCTCCCCGCCAAGCCATCGTGTCCCTCTTGTTCAGCAACAGCCGCCGCCGCCTTGTTTGACCGGAGTGCTGTCGATTCTCAGGTTGGGCCGGTCCCCGCCGGCCGTGGCCCCGGGGCCCATCCGCTTCTTGATCTCGGCCGCCATGGTCATGAACGACTGCTCCACGTTGGTGGCGTTCTTGGCACTCGTCTCCAGGAAGGGGATGCTGAGCGAGTCGGCAAACTCCTGGGCGGAGGAGGGGAGGAGAACGAGCGAGAAATCAGATAGGGATTCGGGGGGGGGGGGGGCGCGGCTCAGCGGCGGGGAGTCCTCGGACTTACGACCCACCACTGGGATCCCTCCCCCATGCTACCGATCGTGATTGGGAATAGAGGGAGAACGTCGTGGCCAGTCGGGCCGCTGGCCCCTCCAGTCGCCGGATGGGAGTCGGGGTCAGCATCAGGGCAAACGGGGGGTTCTGGGGAGGGGGGAGGGGGAGTGGAGGTGTCAGAGAGAAAGAGAGACGGAGGCGGAGACTGGGCCGCCCGTCAGCCCTCGGATGGAGAGTCAACAGCCCCCAGGTCTGGAGGGGGCTGATGAGGAAGAGGAGGAACAGCTGAGTAAAGTGCCTGATGTGCAGAGGAGAGGAGAGCAGTGGAAATCTATGGGCCGGTCCTTGGGACGGAAGAGCCAGGTCTGGAGGGGGCTGATGAGGAAGAGGAGGAACAGCCGGGTCCAGTGCCTGATGCATAGATGCACAGGAGGCAGAGAGGAGAGCAGTGGAAATCTATGGGCCGGTCCTTGGGACGGAAGAGCCGCCGCTCTAACAAAGCCCCACCCAGGCTCTGGGGATAAAAGGCAGCGGGGCGGAGATGAATAGATGCGGCAGGTAAACTATTCATCTTCTGGGCGGACTTGTTAGCCTGCGAGAGAAACGATTTGCCGGGGCTGCCGGCATTCCTGATAAAGGAATGAGTGAGTTAACTACAGATGGTTTGTCGTATTTGGGGTCAGAACAGGGAGGCCCTGAAATTCCCACAGCTGGAGGCTCACCTTGGCGGTTGTGTAGTCCACCACCTTCTTTGTGGTTAAGTCACACTTGTTGCCGACGAGCAGCTTGTTGACGTTCTCGCTGGCGTAACGCTCGATCTCCTGCAGCCACTGCTTGACGTTGTTGTACGATTCCTGGACGAGCGAGGGAGGAGCAAGGTGAGTACTGAAGGAGCCAGGTGCTACTCCAACACCCATACTTCTTGAGGGGGATCTTAAAGGCCAGGTGGGCATTCCCCAGCCACAATTTCCGGGTTGGAGGCCTTCAACTCCCAGAATCCCACCTTGGAGGACTTCAACTCCCAGAATC